TGTGTGCATCCTTAGCAGCATGTGGATGCTGCTGAAAGCCTGGCCATGATCTGCGGCGATGCAGGGGCTGGAGCACTTGCTTCCAAATCCCAGGTTAGGGGCTGCTTGCTGGAACATCCTCCTGGGTCCACCTGGGCCAGATAATGTGTTTTCCTTTTGCTCCTGTAGGCTACTCCCATAGGCAGGATGCACCGATTTTCCACCTGTACTTGTAAGAGGATTGTGTTATTTAAGAGTATTGTGCTTAAGCACAGGCGGTGTAATCCAAGTCGTGACACAGCGAGGGCAGCCAGGGAACATGCTGTTGCTAGCAGGATTTTTTGACTAACATGGATAAGTGATCCCCCCCCCGCCCCAGTTTACAATTGTTATTAAAAATGTGCTTTAGGCTCTGCCTATTCCTGCTCTTTATGTGTATTTCTGTTTCTCCCAGGCCTGGAGTTTCCTGGGATCGTCAGGGTGCCCAGACGGACCAAGCTGGGTACAGGAGCCTGGCCTGCTCTGAGTTGCACCAGCTGCAGCTGTGTAGTTGGAGGCAAAAATTGGTCAATGTTAGGCAAAACCGGTCAGTTCTAAGTGGGGCACTTGGGAGCTTGCCACTCACGGCGCTTCTTCTCCCAGTCCTGCGTTATCTGTTGCAGTGCTTTAGCTGCCAAAACCCCATTGGCATGAAACAGATATCTTTGTTTATAGAGAACAGGTTTGGCAACAGTCTATCTTGGTGAGCAGTCGTCATGTTGAAAGATTCGGAGTCTTCTTTTCCTCTCCAAGCAGCAAACTGAATTTCTTGCACTGGGATTCCTGATTTTAAAGAATAGGAATGGACAGTAGGAGTGAGAGCAGGCTCTACCTGTACGGCCTGGAAGAAAGCAAGAATGAGATGCAGAAAGAGGAGGCTATTTTAGTCATTTGGTTTCTAAACCCATGAGAAATTACAAATAATGTGTATTGTTGCCAGCTGCTGAACACAGAGGAGTGTGGTGGTTTTACTTGCATGCAAAGGGAGTAAAAAAACAAGCGAGGTTGTGGGTGAAGTACTTGGACAAAAACAGTCAATCACTGGTCTGGGTATTCACCAAAAATAAACCCAAACACTGACATATTATAGAAGCCAGTTTTGCTGTGTGGACAGACCTACAGTTGCTGCTGTTGCTCGTAAGCTCCAGCACTGTTGAAGCCTTCTGTTTAATTTACTTTCCTATACAAAGTAAAACAGCAATGTCTCTGAAACTTATAAAGCAAACAGTAAATGTTATATATTTTTCATGAAATTGTGGTATACACCCTAAAATTACAGGGATATTTGTCACTGATAACCATTGCTTGATGAAGTTATCTGCATTGCAAAAAAATGCTGCAGACAAAAGGCCAAAGTTCAAAGTTTTGGTCCTAAACTTTAAAGGTCCTAAAGTTTAAAAATGTTAACTGAAAGCAGGCTTAAAGATTAGTTGAAGAAAAATGGTTTTGCAGTCATTAGCAAAGGTTTCTTTTCCCTCCTGTTTTCCAGATTGCTTCCCAAAGGTTTATTTAAGTTGTGCTCCAGTATGAAAGTAACTGCTCCTTCATTATCAGAATAGCTATAGAGATTTTTATTCCAGAAGGCCAGGCTCTATCACTACTTGAAATTCTCCAAATTGTTTCCACTGTGAGCAAATTCAAGCTTGATGCAAGTCACATCTGCTTAAAAGTTACTAGCAATTGCTTTTACTTTATGCCAGCATCAAATTTCACCTACAATCTCACGTTTAAAAAATCAGGTTAAAGCCCAGGGTTTGGAAAGCTTTGAGTAAGTGACTTTAAATCCAGAAGTCCTTAATATGAAATACTGAAATAAAAGCATTTGACTTTAGTGGTTTGGGGTTGAAACAGAGACATTTCCTTGCAGATAGGAATGTCTCATGTGAACTACATACATAAAAAAGGTCTATTTAAGTTTTTCCACGTAGGAACAAAAAATAGCAATCACACCTAGGTGCAGTTTCTCAGCCAGCTGGAGCAGAGCAGCAGTGGGTGAGTGCAAGCACTGCAGCCCCCAGCAAGGGATTAATGGGAGGAAATGTGGAGAACGGCCTGGGCTTCCTCCGGGAGCAGAGTGCAACCGCGGCCGGGAGGCCTTGGAGGAGGGAAATGGGACAAGTGACCAGTCCTGGGGCAGCAGGAGCAAAGCACAAGAGGGGCCTCAGAGAGAGGCAGCCTGGATGGGGCTCGTGCTGAAAGGAACCGTAAGGCAGCAGTTCCCACAGCGTAAGTGTACGGTGTCCAAATAAACATGCCCTGAAAGGAAGTGCTGCTGGTGCAGTGCTCAGGCAAGTAAGAGAACAGGGCTGCCATGATGGCATCTGCCTACAGCAACCTAATCCTCTACACTATTTTTTATATATATATGTGCATATAGAGCCATGTTTTAAGGCAAAGGGAAGATGTCAAACCCACTAAAGAGCCAGAAGTGACAAGACAAACACTGCTACTGATCAGTGTTTCACAGGTGTAAAATTGCTTTCCATGATGGCACAGCATACCTTGGCATCTAAACATGCATTTTGGTTAAGCATGAAGCAAAATAGACTCTGCCATTGGAGGGCTCAGGTTACTGTGATAAGAATGTGGGCTTCAGGCTCACTCTCGAAGATTTAAAGTAAGATTCACCTGAACAAAGTTTTAGAGCTGGGAAGAAAAGGAAGGGGGGGGGGGAAGCTTCAAAACACTGTCCCCCATAGCTAGTAAGAAGGGCTGTGGTTTTTCCCCTCCCCAAAAATCATTCCAGCAGCACAACCTCTGATTTAATTTACAGCACTTGTAGCAGCCTCCAGTTCTCAAGTCTCACCACCCCTTTGGAATGGGAAAAGAGCATTATCCTTATTGTATAGATAAGGAAACTGGTTTATCAGCTTGCCCTCAGCAAGAGGCAGGGCCTGGAATAAAACTTGGCTGGGATGCAAGTACCTCAAGTGAGGGCAAACATGCATTTAAATCAGCCTCAAGCCCCATCTTCTTTTGTTAGGGGCCTTTACTTCAAAAAAAGGCTAGTTTCAAGGGAGTTCCTGATCAGTCGTATTATTTACCCAAAGCAGCTTCCAGCTCCCTGAGCGGGGCCTTCGGGGAGGTGGAACAGGGGGAGGCCCTCGTGCCTTCCCCCTCTGTAACATTCCAACGCGGCAAGAACTGCACCGGAGCCCTTGTATTAAAAATCATTTATTTAATGATCTGTACATGGGACGAAGTAGGACCTCATACAGACCTTCCAAAAAAAAAAATCAAGTAAAAACATAAATACATATTTTCTTACAAAAAGAGAGATTTACAAAATATACATACTGCACTTTTCTTACAGTTTTCTTGTCCAATCCCCACGTGCACATTATAAGAGACAAAAGCCCAAGCCCTGCAAGTCTGAGATCAGATATAGCAAAGGATTTGGCTGATGGGCTGTTCCTCATGCCCAGACTGCTGGTATGAGTCTGCCCCCGCACCCTGAACAGTTACTTCCTTTTAAGTTTAATTCCAGACTCTTCCCCCCTCCTCCTCCTCCTCCTCTCCCCCATTAAGAGCAGCTATAGGGTGGAGACTTGCTACAAACCCACAATTTCCTATTTTGTCCATAGGCAAGAATATGTCAACACACACACACATATATATATTTATAAAAACAAACCCTTCAGTGAATATAAAGGTAGAGTAGCATTTAAAAATAAAATATTAAGACAGTCAACATAAAAATTTAAGAATAGGAAAAAAGTCACGTAAAAAAAAGGCTGCATCTGTTGCTTAATTTGTGAATGTCTTTATGCCTTTTTTTTTCCCCTCCACAGTGGTGGGATCAGTGGAAGGAAATGGCTGCATTTTCTAGTTACAATTAAAAGGTTACTCAGTAATTGCTTTCTTTTAAATCCCAAGGCCAGCTGTCCCAAGCGAGCCTCTTCCCTCACTGTTACAGAGCTCGGGGCACCAGAGTTGCTGGCAAATGGCTTCATCGGGAGCAAAAAGTATTTGCCCCGTCCCCACGGTGCCTTCACCTGCAGGAGCCCTGCTGCAGGAAGCGCCTTTACGGGAGCTAGAGCGGGGCCAGGGCTGGAGAGAAAAGCTGCAAAAAAAGTCACGTGGTTTTAAGGGATCAGGTTTTAAGGGATCTTGTTTAGCAGCCTTCCCAGTTCTGCTCTGCTCTCCTGCTCTTTCAGCCTTGCATTCCCTTCAGCTTAGGGAAAGTAGAGGTCTTGCAGAGTGCAAAAACATCCTGCCCGCTCCTTTCTCATAAAGGAATGTTTATTCCTGGGAGCTGCCCGCATTCAAGGGCGAACCTCAACGACTTCTTTTTGTTAGTTTGCCCATAAAAACCGATCCCATGCCTAGGCCTTTCTGCACAGAAAACACTTTTGTCTCCCCCTTTGTCTCCTCTAACAAAGGCAGGGGGGAAAAGCCTTCTGCTGAAAAGCAACAAGTCACTTCTTTTCAGGGGGTGGGAGAGCAACCGCCTCCTTCCCCACAGCAGCCAGGATCACCCCTCCAGGCAGGATTTTCCCTCCATTTCCAGGATTTTCCCTTTGGAATAGTTACAGCAGGTAGCACAGAGGGGGGGAAAGCACAACCTCCAGGCTCATGGAGGCACCCGGGCAGCGCGAGGCTGGACGGGCAGCTCCCACCCGCAGCTTCCCCCCAGGAACGCAGGGAGTTTGGCTGCTTCTCAGCCCTTGCTGCCCTCTCAAGGAGGGACCTTTTCAGTTGAGGGATTTTTCTTCCATCCTCCCTGCACAAGGAAGAGGTAGGGGTACTTCTTGCAGGTAAAGGACTCCCCTACCTCACCAGTGGCCTGGAGAGCCTTCTTGGTGCTCCCCTTATTAGTTGGGCATCAGCACCCTTGGACATCTGCTCCTTTATGCAGAGATTCTTTCCTTTTGCTTGAGGAAGCAAAAGTTCTGGAAAGCTCCCCTTCCTCCTCCTCTGGGGAGCCATCACCTCCCTTCTGAGAACCCCTCACGTGTGTGTATATAATGTATATAATATATATGTGTGTGTGCGCGCGCATGCACCAGAGGGGGCAGGAGGGTCTCATACCGCCGTCTCTCCCTTGCTGCCCGTGCTGAGTCTGTGGTAGAAGCGTCGCCAGGACTGAAGGGTTTTGCCAGACCAGATCCAGAAGCCAGTTGTGATACCGACAATCATGGTCATGAGGTACTTGATCATGAAGACTGTGAAGTCCGGGCTCATGGGGGCAAAGTGGCTGGGACAGGGCACGGCATAGGACTTGCAGGTCTGGAGGAGCCACGTCTTCTCCCAGGTGGCCCGGAAGGCCTGCTCATAGAAGTAACACGCTAGCACGATGGTGGCGGGCACCGTGTAGAGGACGCTGAAGACACCAATGCGCACCATGAGCTTCTCCAGTTTCTCCGTCTTGGTGCCATCATGCTTCATGATGGTTCGGATGCGAAACAGGGACACAAAGCCGGCAAGCAAGAAGGAGGTGCCGATGAAGAGGTACACAAACAAGGGCGCCAGCACGAAGCCTCGCAGGGAGTCCACACTGTAGATACCTACGTAACACACCCCGCTAAGCACGTCCCCGTCCACCTGCCCCATGGCCAGGATGGTGATGGTTTTGACGGCAGGCACAGCCCAGGCAGCCAGGTGGAAGTACTGGGAGTTGGCCTCGATGGCCTCGTGACCCCACTTCATGCCAGCAGCCAGGAACCACGTGAGGGACAGGATGACCCACCAGATGGAGCTGGCCATGCCAAAGAAGTAGAGGATCATAAAGAGGATGGTGCAGCCTTCCTTCTTGGTGCCCTGGGCCACGGTGCGGTAGCCGTCCTCGGAGAAGCGTTCCAGGCACACCACACGCTCCTCCAGCAGGAAGCCCGCTGCGTACGCCACGGCCACCATGAAGTAGCAGCCCGAGAGGAAGATGATGGGCCGCTCAGGGTAGCTGAAGCGCCGCATGTCCACCAGGTAGGTGAGCACGGTGAAGAGCGTGGAGGCGCAGCAGAGCACGGACCACACGCCCACCCAGAGGCGGGCGAAACGCACCTCGGCCTCCTTGAAGTACATGAGCCCGTTGGGCCGGGCCGGCTCGCAGGGCGCCCCGCAGTCCCGCTCGCCCAGGAAGCGGTAGCCCAGGTACGGTGGCACCTTGAGCTGGCGCGGGCAGGAGAAGGTGAAGGCAGCGGGGGGCTGCGGCGGGGGCAGCCCGTCCCG